TCTTCCGCAAAATCTTTCTCTCAAACACCCCAAGAGCCGCCTCATCGAAACTAACGAAGAAAACTAAATATTTAAAATAAAATAACATAAAAATGTATATAAATATTATAAAATTAAGTTGAAATAGATTGAATTAAATTAAGTTAAATCAAATTAAATTAAATACAATAAACTAAAAATTTAAGTAGATTAAAACAAAAAAATAAATAAATTCAAATAAAATAAATTAAAATAAACTAAATAGAAATAAACGAAAACAAATTTATAAAGTTTATTCAAATAAAAACAGAATAAAACAAAATCAAATTAAAGTAAAATNAGCGTAATTAAGAGGCTTGTTTTTAAAATTAAAATTTTCAATAAAATATTTAAAGACAAATAAATGTTATGATTATTCATGTGTGGCACTGTACGTAAATAAGTACGAGTAAGTTAAACAAAAATGCTCGGAGCCACATCAACTGTGGGGTGGAAATAGTTACATATAATACACATGCGCATAAATAACTGTGCTTATGTTTAAGAGTGTGTGTGTGTGTATGTCACGATAATGGTGCAATATGGATTTACTAGCGAGTACAGAGAATTTCCGCGCCTCGAAAACATATACTATAAAATGTACATATTTAAATGAATGAAAGTGGTTACCCACCGGGCTAAGGGACGGGAAAGTCAATGAAGAGAATCAGATTTGTACGCGAGACAACACGCGGAGCAGCTGGCAAACTCATGCACAGGCGAACATTTCGTCCAATTCACGCAGATATGCTTACATAGCAAAAACGTTCAATTAAATAAAAGCGGCAAAGCCTGCGATTGTGGACTACACCGGCAGAGCCTACATACATACATACATACATATGAGTACATATGTGGCGTGCATTGAATATTGATAGACTTTTGTAATAAATATACAAATATAACTAAAATGTAAATTTAAATCGAAAAAACACACTTACATATTTGCTGGCAAAGGTGGCAAACGTAATTTATGCTTTTGATTTTTTATTCCTACGAGCACTTTGTAATTATCATCGATTTTTTCCGAGCTGCACAAACACGGAGCGCCGAATTCTCACCATTATTATATCGCACATTGACAAACGCGCACGCAGAAAAGTGCTTCCAGTTGTGAAAAGTGTTTTACTTGAGCGAATGCTGTTTTAGAGGAATGCGCAAGAAGAGCAATAGCCCAAAATAAATAAATAGTAACAATTAAATTGTGGAAACATTTAATTTGCGGAAGCAAGCATTCTGCCGCACAAAAATCAGTCGCATCAGCGAAAAATGACTATTACTGCATTTCAGTTCTTCGGCAGTTTGGCCCTTGTCAGTGTCGCCTATAAATTTGCGCACACCGTCTTGCCATGGCTATATGTGAATATAATTGGGCCGAAATTCCTTGGGCCAAAACTCGATATAAGTCGCGTTGGAGGCTGGGCCGGTTAGTTTTATGAATCATGTGTTAAGCGTTCGGGTATTCGGTGATTAGCTGATAAGAAAAACATAGAAAGTGTTGATTCTATTTATGTATGTGTATATCTGTGTGTACTACATCTGCATATGTGCATATGTACGCATAAGTACCCTGCAGTGAAACCTCAAAATAGTCAGGAAAAATACCAGTTTACAACTAGCACTTCCTGACTGAAACCTAACTAGTTCGAAAATGACCAGACTTGAACCAAGTAAAAAACGATTTATTAATGCCCTGTTTTATTTGACTTCAACAGTTTATTACAATAGAGTACACAAAATATTACAACTTTTATTTGGGTATATTGTACACCGTTATAGCGAATACGTACTCGCAATTATACCATACCAGTTAAATAATGATTAATATTCATAATGATTACTAATTAAATCATGTTTTTTGGATAACCGTTTAATGATTAAATACAGATATTAGCACCTTTTTTGAGATTAATAATTAATTACTTAAACAGAAATTTTATAATTTTGTTATTTTTGATCATTTGCAATTATTTTGGACACGATTAATATAATTATTTGATTAATTTCAATTATCAATCGACAAACCAAAGTATAGACAAAAATTAAGAATATTTAGTAACTGCTTGAATTATTTATCCAAATCTTATCCAAATCTCAAAATTTACACATTGTTTATTACTTTTAAAATATTTATGTATTTATTTTTCGTTTTAATCAATACTCAAAAAATTTAACACATATTATTGGCAAACCTAGGGCTGCTTAAAAAAATGTGTAATGTATTAAAGTGTACTTAATCAAAAGTTTTTTATTGTATATTCATGAATTCAATTTTTTTTGACTTGCAGGATAGTGGTTTTGGTACATAATTAGACTAGTATTTTTCTGTATATTTTGAACTAGTACGAGACTGGTATATTTCTGACCGAAATCTGAACATTTCCATCTCGTAGGGCATCCCCATGTTAAAAATACCAGTTGATTGCATGGAAAAAAGATAGTTGGCTGACTAGTTGGGCATGCGGTTCATACTAGTTGTGAGGTAGTTTAAAACTAGTACATTTGACTGCAGGGTAGTTAAAAGGGCTATTGGTGTAGTTTTATAAAAACTATCCATTATATATTTTTATTTTCGGAGCAATTAAGCGCGTTCTTTTTTTCATTTCAATTTTTTAGAATTTTTAAAAATGTGTCTCAAATCGCTAGTGTGCATAATTGAATTGCAGTGCAAAAGTTTAAGAATATTTATTTGTATAAATCGAGTAAAAGGTCTGAAAAGCAAAGGCTAAATTTTTATTAATACGGCCCATTAAGTGCTTTTTACCACTCTATTCTGCATCACTGAAAAATTCTTGTCACAGTTTCTATTACGGAAAAATATATGAAAAAGTTTAAATTTGTCAGTAATAAATTTTTTGTCACGGATACAAAATTGGGCTATTAGTCCGAAATTGCTTTTCGAAAAAGGTTATTTATTCAAAAATTGTACATATATACATACATACATTAGACTGCGTGAAATAAAACAAATATTTGTTTTTTCAATCCCATCTCAGAATTTCGCTGTCCATCACAAAAAAAAAATAATTTATAATAAAACAAATTTTATTCTCCAACATTTTTTTTTTAAATAAACATTTGAATATAATAAATAAAACCTAACAATTATGTATCCTATTCAATTCCAGTATAACAAGTGCAATTTTTAAGTAGCAAGGATGTACCGCTGATTTTGTGGTAATTTTTTTGTTGACGGTGTCAGTCATTTTCCTCCATACAAAGTGTGCTCGACGACTCGTTTATATGGAAAAAAAATTAATGAAACCCTCAACAAAAAAAACTTCACACTTTCACTTGCTGTACTGAAATTAGATGGCCAACAAGTGATTTATTTTTATTTGTTATATTTAATTGTTTACTATACAAAAAATTAGCGCTAACTGAAAAAAAGATAGTGGGCTGAAATTTTGCCACAACTATGTTATTGTGAACGACAACGAAACTTTCATAGGGGAACGAAAGAAAAACCAAGTCACTTTACTTGGCACAGTCTAATGTACATACATACATACTATGTACGTATACAAAATATATATATATATATATATACGTGAGCATACTTTTTTATTGTGTGCTACTTATCAGCGTTGCTTTTATTAATGAGCTGTTTTTTTTTCTTACCCCTACAGTCATCACCGGCGCTACTGATGGTATTGGCAAGGCGTATGCGAATGCGGTATGTCATACGATTTAAGAAAGAAAATTTAACAAGAGGTAAAGAAGCCTATTTGTACATAAATTGAGAGAAAGAATATCAACCTACTCATTTCAACAAATATATAGTTTATATAGGGTTCATATCCAACAGCCACAAAAAGTACAAAGGTCTATCCTCATTTAGTGGGTCATCTACTCAGGGTAATATGAAATGTTGCCACCGTAGACCACACGGATGTGATATATATTTGTGTGGAAGCAAAAATCTAAAATTCTTGGAGAGTTAAAATTCATGCATGGGAAATAAGCTCATGATGTTTATATGTTGATTCCGAACGACTTTTTAGGTTTGGCCAAGGTATGTCCCTTGGAATCAAGGACTGGGAGAAATAAAGGTATTGGGAGGGACCGTAGTGGTACTTGAGAATCGTTCCTAATATTTCAGAAAATTTTTCGTGGCCTCCAAATTTTGCCTTCTAGGTTTTTTTTTTCAAATAAAAACGCTTTAGACATTCTTGAAAGAATGCCTCTTTATATGTTTGTATCTTTTGGCTGCAGTTGATTCAAAGAAAGTATACGGATACAAAGTCGGAAAGAAAGTAGATATTTCTTAGAAGATATTGGGGCGTATTCTTGTTTTCGTACAAATCGAAAATCATGAAAGTTTCCTATCATTTTCTATACAAAAAATTCAAATTTTCGATTCGTACGAAAACCAGAATACGCCTCATTATTTCTCTGCGTTTCACGATCAGGAAAATTCGAAATAAGGCGGCCACCGTAGGCGAGTGATTTGGAATCCCTGGTTCGGGCAATGGTAGTAATTGCGTTTCAGCAGTTAATGACAAAACTCCAGGTTTAATTCCGCAATGAAAAAGTTGCCAAAACCCTTTGCTTTTCGGAGATAGCATACAATTTTAGACCCCTCCAATTGTGTATTAACACAAGACGTACGTCAGAAATGAGAGGAGAAGCTCGGGTAAACTATTAACAAAAATGTGAGTGTCAAAAATTGGTCTTTATTAAAAAGCAGTTACAAACTTAAAATATTTGGAATTCTTTGGTTTTTAGTTTCACATCAATATTCTACGTAATACATATTTGACGACTATTTTCAGTAGTAGTACATACTATAAACTTAACAGTTCAATTGTCACATTTGATACGTTGGTACTAGATAAGCATAAAAATATAATAACAACAACAATAACTGCCGCTAGAACAACAAAAACGATACGAAGCACAGTGTTTCGACTTCAGGGAGGTATGTTGGTGGAAGCAATAGTAAACGCGAACCGATTTCGCTGGAACTTGACATATGCTCTAATTTTTCTTAGGAATTGCGAGTTATGAAATATGGTAGAAGTCAGATCATTGCCCCGCCCTCCAGCCTTGTGGGCGAAAATGTGAAATTTCATCCGATTTCGATGAAATTTAGTTTGTACTCTCTATTTTATTAGAAACCCCTATACCCCTATATATTCGGAAACTATATGAAATTCTCTAAAACATGCAAAACCCCCAACCGACTTCAATTCGCACATAAGAATTTAAGAGTACCGTTAATTTTTTTAAGATAAGACTAGGATTTATAGGTACCACCTTTCCGATAAAAAAGAACAATCCAAATTTATGCGGTAACATACATAATAAATTATATATGTACATATGTATATTCCGACGAATTATTCACATCCAAACGCAACGTAAGCTGAGAGAGGGGTAATGAAATTATGTGAAATTTTGTATTTACATATGACTTTAATGTTTCCCTCTCTAATCTAATCAGATTTTTTCTATCAACTGTCACCATGACTTTTTTCCACCTGCCTCCATATAGTCGAAACACGGTGCGACAGCACCTATCTATGGGACGTGCGTAAAATTACAATATAGGCCTCCAAGTTCAACGAATATTGAAATTCAAAAGTACAATACAAAGCAGCACTAAAGTACTCTTGTATGTATGTACATATGTACGTTAGGGTGGTCCACAAATGCATGTGAAAAAGTAAAGTCGGAATTTTAAACATTTTTCTATTTGAAATCGAAAAATATTTAGAGATCGCTCAAAGCACTCAAAGTTCTATGCAGGAAAAAAACAACTTTTCGTAGAAATGGTATTAAATTCCTGAAAATCAATATTTTTCGATCGGAAAACTCTGTTTGTCTTCAATAATAATACCCAATAGTTATATAACCATTTTTAAACTTACTATATTTTATAATTGTGCCGAAAACCTCTGAAAATGCCGTGGACCCATAAAAAATCGTTAGTATTAAAAAATGCTCAAATAAACATTATTGAAAGTCTCCTGAAGAAAACCAGAGTTTTCCAATCGATAAATATTGATTTTCAAGATTTCTATATCATTTCTACGAAAAGTTGTTTTTCCCCCATATAAAATATATACCTACATGGAAAACTTTGAGCAACCTCTAAATATTTTTCAGATTTCAAACAATAAAAAAGGGGTATATTTTTTTCGGTGTAGAACAATCCTAGGGGGTGAGAGCATTAAAATTCCGATTTTCCTTTTTTTATTGACCATCCTAATGTACATACTATGTATAGGGCGAAGTGTCGCAAAAATGGTTGTCCGCGTAGTGGACTTCGTCTATCACTTTACTACAAACATACATGGTCCTACATACATATGTATATACATATGTTTGAATTTAATACAAGCCAAATGTATTGAAGGAAAAGTAATTAATTAATTTTAATACATATTTATACGAGTACTGCAAGTGCCTAATCAGTTGTGAGCCATAGCTGGATTTTGCTTGGTGAATAGAAATGGCTTGCATTAGGTGCATACATATATGTGTGATCTATTAGGATGGTGCACAAACTAATTTCGTATAAATTTCGAAATATTTTTTGGACAAAAGTCGGTGCAAGTACCTGATGATGACTTCAGATTGGATGCAAAAATATTAGTGGTATTCATCAAAATGTTGTCAACTGTCCTTGCTTGAGCTCATCTGCTCTTTTGCCAGACTGTCAGGCCACTTGCTCGCTTTGGTGAATACCACTATTGTTTTATGTTTAATGCATTAAAGAAATGTACAGCATGTAGCACTAGTTCGGACCTGGATCATTGAAAACTAGGTAGGGGAAAAGTGATTCAGCTGAAAACGAAAAAGGAATGCTCACATGGTTGTTATGGGCCCTGGGGATGTGGTGGTTACTTTCCAGCTTTCTACGGAACCTATAGAATGATCTACAGTTGCTGTGTTGGAAAATGAAATTATTGCTAAAGGTAGGAATTCGAGAGCGCTTTGTGCGATAAATGTACTTCTAAAAGGTCTAAACCTAAGATGGCGCTCAACATCCGCGCAACGAAAACGCCAATTATTCATTTGTTCAGGAGAAGAGTTCTTCCGGGCACGAGGAATACAACCTTAGTTCAAATAGTAGTGAGTGTTACCAGAGAAGTGGAGTATCTAGAACTGATCCTGTATACGCAACTTCTATGGCAAAAGTACGTTGGCGCAACCATATCCATAGCTAGCAAATTAGTAATGGTGTGCAAACGTCTAGCGGTTAAATCCTCGTGATGCAGCCCAAGAAAAACCCATAGTATGCTTAAGAAAGGAAGCTGGCATATCGTGTCCGTAAGATTTGTAAATCATAGACTTAATAAATGAAATGAAATATATGTGATACTAGCTTGAATCTCAAGAGCTACTCTAACCACTGTGAAAGAGTCAATCACAAAGCTTCAAAGTCTGGGGAACTGGAGCTACATAATTACAACAACAACAGAAGTGTTGTGAAGAGAAGAAGACACAATACAATAAACCCTTAGGTCATAGTGGTACCTACTTATCTATCCATTAGCCCTGCTTGCCCTGTTATATGTAATAGGAATTTTAAAGTAAATTAAAGTTTCAACAATTTTAATTAATTCGATAAACTATGTTTTTTCGATTTAGTACAGCTGCTTAAAAAATATTTTTAAAAAGGTATAATTTTTTGTGATAGCCTTTACTTACACACATATGCATTTCAAAAAGTTTATATTAAAACTAATGACGGAAATTTAATCAACCAGCCAACAGAATATTTATATTATAAATTTATTATTTGACTTCTACTAAAAGTACAATATAGACAGTTTTTCTTTTCACTCAAGCAGAAATTATGTAATTATTTGAAAAGTGTTTGCAAATTTCTCAAATAAAAATTCAATGTCAAGTGCATCTACGAGAAGTGCTTTAAGTCAACAAAAAAATGCAGTTACTTGCACAAATATTAGCACAACAAAAATGTTTACGTAAATGCGCTGACAACGCAAAATTTGCAACAACTGGAAGATAGATGCATTTTGCGCAAACGCAAGACCCCCACACACCAGCAGAGAAGTGCAATGCAATTAATAAATTAAAAAAAAAATGAGAAGAAATCTAGCAAATGCATTACTAGCTGAGATATTTAAATATTTACTCGTACGCACTACTTCTATGATGCATTAAAGATCACTGAAGCCAAAAGTCATTAGTCGCACTTTTTGGAGTAGCCGCAAACAAATGCGTAGTCTCTTTATTATTGCATCTACTTAAACAAAAAGCTTACTTAAGTACTTTTTGTAATTCGTTTATCTTTTTGCAAGCGTTTAATAGCATTGCCATTTTTGTTTTTATTTTCTTTAGCTCGCAAAGAGGGGATTTAACTTGGTGCTAATCAGTCGCTCGCTAACCAAATTGGAAGATGTAGCCAAGAAAATCGGTAAGAAATACGAATTTTAATAAACAACAATATTTACATTAATTACAAGTATCTATAAAACAAAAAGGTGAGCAAAATAGAGGAAACAGAAATAAAATATTTATGGAAAATAGAAAAAAATAAAACCAAATAAAATAAAATAAATTAATATTAAACTAAATTAAATCAAATTTAATTAAATTTAATAAAAATAAAACAAATTAAACGAACTGAAATAAAATAAAAAATTTACATAAAAATAAAATAAAATAAGCTGGAATAAAAAAATATATATAAATATTTATTTATTTACATTATATTATTTATATAAAGAAAACATTATAACAAATAAAAAACAACAAAAAAATATTTTATTCCAGAAAAAAAAACAAAATAAAAACTATTAATATCAAATAAAATCAACTAAAATTAGGAAAAAAATTACGAAATTTATATAACATAAAATTATTATATGTAAAATAAATTTTATATAAAATAAATTAGGATATGAAATTAAAATGAAATGAAATAAAAAATTAGCTCAAATAAAATAAACTTAAATTAAAACCAAATCAAATATGTAACATGAAATAAAATATAAAATTTATATAAAATAAATTAACATAAAATTTAAATAATATAAAATAAAATTTGTATAAAATCAAAGCAAAAAAATATACCAAAATATAAGTTAAATTAAATTAATATAAAATACTGTGAAATAAAAAAGTAAACTAATAAAAAATATAGTCAAATAAAATAATCTAAAATTGATATAAATAAAATTTATTAATATAAAACAAAAGTTCTTTAAATAAATTAAAATAAAACAAAATCAAACAAAAAAGTTCAAATGAAAGAAAATACAATACTAAAACTTAAACTAAAATGAATATAAAACTCAAATTTATACAAAATTAAATAGTTAAAAAATAACATCAATGCTAGCTAAAATTAAATTAAATTAAGTTAAACAAATAAAATTGAATTCATTCAAACAAAAAAGTAAGAAATGTATATAAGAAATGATACTAATCAAATAAAATACAGCAATAAAAAAATATAAGAGAAAACAGACTAAAACTAAATTAAAATCGAGCAAAATAAACTCAACTTAAATAAATAGCCGTTAAATTGTTAAACTGTGAAGTTGTCGCACGAAGCAACTTCAGTACTTAAATAAATTAGAGTTTTTTATATAAAAATTTACATTACATATCGTCACCTGAGTGAAAGATCGCCCTATCTCGGCAGTCAGTTCGAAAACGCCCTATTAATTTTATATAATTTTTCACTTAATTACAGGCGAAGACCACAAAGTCGATATTAAAATCGTCGATGTCGATTTCACGGGTGGCGTGGATATTTACGACAAGATCAAGGCACGCATAGAGGGCCTTGACATTGGTGTACTCGTCAACAATGTCGGCGTTTCATATCCTTACCCAGAATACTTCCTAGAATGCTATCAGCAAGATCCTAAATTCTTACAAAACATTATTTCGGTAAACATACACTCCGTGACACACATGTGCGCCTTAATTTTGCCTGTCATGGTGAATAGAAAGAAAGGTGTAATCATCAATGTCTCGTCAACTGCCGCGGTTATACCAAATCCACTGCTTAGCGTTTACAGCGGCTCCAAGGTATATACATGCCTAAAGTATTTGTTGACTTAATCTTATCGGCTAAATACACGGTGCGTCTGACTCGCGAGTCGGTTTGGATGACTCGTATGACTTTGAATGGCTCAACTGGGTGTACTCGAAAGGCGAGTCAACACGTACACAGGTGACTGGCGAGTCAGACACGCACCGTCTATTGGAATCGCATTTTTTTAGTTTTTTATTTTTATGAATTTTAAATTTTTCCAGGCTTTCGTTGACAAATTCAGTGTCGATTTACAAACGGAATACCGTAGTAAAGGTATCACAGTGCAATGCGTTCAGCCGGGCTTTGTTGCCACCAATATGAGCAAGATAAAAAGAACGGATCTAATGACGCCATCGCCCGACACATATGTCGCTGCAGCTCTCAACTTTTTGGGATATACCACGAAAACTGCTGCCTATTTGCCACACATTTTTTTGCAATTGACTTTGAATCTCATGAATGATGTCATCTGTGAACCCTTCACTACGAACTTCGTCTTCAATCAATTGTTGAATATGCGCAAACGCGCCTTGCGTAAACAGCAGAAGCAATAGAGGGTTTGAAGAATTAAGTTCTATGGAGCTTTACCTGTACATAAATGTCAGTTCAATGACCAAACCAAAAATAGATTTAATTTGTTATGAATATATCGCATCCAAGAAATAAATTTCAGAGTGTAGCTGGTCAATATAACATAATTAAAGCGTCTTATTAATATCTAAGTACTAATCATTATAAACTACAAAAGTGTACATATGTATGAGTAAGATTTTTACCCCGGAGCCTGCCGAGGTAGTAGCAGCACCTGTCGGCTCTTAGGTAGACAAAAAGCCCTTCATTACCTAAAAATTATAACTGCTAACAGTGACGCGTGTCTCAATGTGCGGAGTCTATTTGTAGATTGGCAACTCGCATTGCGCTTTTCCACGTCGGATTAAAGAAGTCGTTTGGTTTCCAACGGCGGATAAAAGTCCTTCCAAAATTTAGTGCATCTAATGTACACAGAGACCAAACTTGGGTAATCAGAAGGCTGCACAAACTGCCTGAAAAGAATCCCATCTTACTTTCACAGTCAGAAACGGATGACCATGGTGAAGGCGAAAGTCTCCAAAGCCATTGGCTTGGCGGAATAAGCATGCTGATTTAGAAAAACTCGGATTCCGCGGGAGTAGAATATCTCAGGATGATCCCAAATTTGTCGATGAGCACTCTTGACTTGTGGAAGTCCGGGAGAGTGGTTCCATTGCTTAAGCCGCAATATACCCCAGTATAAGTGCCATCACTACAGCACTGAACACCATAAACACCTTCGACATCGTTTTCACTCCACGCTGCTACAAAACATTGATTTTAGAATCCGATAAATAATAAACAGGGGTCCCACAGGGTTGTTATTGTGGCTTAGCGGCACTACTCAACTAACGGTAGGCCCAGGAAACGAACTTTTTCGACGTGGTCGGACCAAAGAGCGAGGTGTGTTAGCTGGGTGGGATTGAGCTGACATGTGAAGTGGTAGTTAGTGTCGTGTCCTCGACACTGCTCGATATTGAGGTCCATCGAAACATCACATTTCCTGAGCCTACCATTAGTTGAGCTTGACGACGATAAGCTGATTTGTGCAGAGCTGCTGGCTCACCATACCTCTCACATAAACGAAGACAACGTCCATAGTATTGCAGGATACTCTTACGGCACAAGGATCAGTACATTCACGTAATGTTATAGAACACTGCCGTTCCTTTAGCGAACTTTGGTAGACATTTTGGTCCTTTGTCGGCAGCTGTACCTTACCGGGTAGCGCGAGCCTCAGAAAACATGGAATGAGCATCTCAAAACCTGCAATCGCTCAAGCGGAGACAGGAAACTGTGGTCCATAGTCAAGTCTCTGTCTTCAATCTGACGATGCGTAAGGACAATGCCGCCCTTACTTTCAGCACCACCACAATGTCGGATCCACAGTCGTGTGGGCGCTTTTTCAGCCGGCAATTTATTGCACACAAACAGAGAGGCACACAAAATTAGCCACAGTGATACACCAACGTGCTTTACCTTTGAAGAGACGCAGGCAGCTGTCAACAACGCCTAAGAATCCAAGGCGTTAGGCTCCATGCAGTTGCTGAAAAAGCTGGGATCTACGGGAGTCGAGTACATGACCGCCGCTTTCAACTTGTCA